ACAGTTCTAAGCATTTTTTTAAATAAGAACTTTTCTTAAAAAAAAAAAAAAAGAACTTCTTTTCTTTGACTTACTATCCCTTATTTTTATTCCTCATTTGGGACACATCTGTATTTTAAAGTGGAGGTGCTGAATGAAAGAAGAACAAAGGAAGAGGGGAAAGGGAACACAAATTGGGGCAAAAAACAGCTCCCTGTCCCCACACCCCACCTCTGAACATGATATACCCAAGATTACCGGAATGATGGTTGCTGAGGAGGAGGATTCTCCATCTTCCTCCAAGCCCAGGTCATGCTTCCAAAGTAAAGGCAAAGACCTCGAAGACGGCTCCGCTTTCTTATATTCATTCTAAGACAGTGATGGGTTGGTTAGCAGAAGGAAGTGACACCCTACCCTCCTAGACAGCACCCTCCTTGTCTCTCTCATGCAAGGTTCAATTTGCTGGGCATTTTGACTGTAGGCCTTGATTCCACACCTTCTCCTATATTCCATTCACTTATTTTGTTAACTAAGTCATATTTCAAATGTGGTTGCAAATTCCTGAAGCCTAAAGAATATTTTTTAAAGTCAGAGTAAGCTCAAGTCACAGAAAGGAGATCTTTGAAACAATACTTAGGTACTCAATTTGTTTTGGTAAATGCAATCTTAAATGCAGTGTTTAAAATAACATTCCAATAGGTATAAAAATGCTTAAAATCACTAATTATCAGAGAAATGCAAACTAAAACTATAATGAGAGGCCGGGGGTGCAGTTCAGTGGTAGAGCTCTTGTCGAGCATGAATGAAGCTCTGGGCTTGTTCCCCAGCACCACTAAATAAATAAATAAAAACAGTGAAGATATCATTTCATACCTATCAGAATGGCATTTATAAAAAAAAATGATGAAAAATAACAAGTGTTGGCAAGGATGTGGAGGAAAGGAAACTTAAATACTGTTGAGGGATAGTAAATTAGCTATTAGGGAAGACAGTATACAAGTTCCTCAAAAAATTAAATGAGAAAGCCACCTTATGATCCAGAAATACTACTATTGGGTATATATCCAAAGGAAGTGAAATCAATCCATTGAAGAGATATCTGCACTTCTGTATTTATTACAGCATTATTCATAATAGCCAAAATGTGGAATCAACCTGAGTGTCTATCAATGGACCAATGGATAAAGAATGTAATATGTAATATGTATCTAAGTGTGTGTGTGTATGTATATATATATATATGAATGACAGAATACTACTCAGCCGTAAAGAGAAGCAAATCCTGTCATTTGTAACAACATGGAGGAACTAAAGGGATATTTTATTAAATGAAGTAAATAAGCCAGGCACAGAAAGACAAATACTGTAGAATCTTGCTTATATGTGAAGTGTAAAAAAGTTAAACTTGTAGAAACAGAGAGTAGAATGGTGTTTATTGGGGTGGAGGGCATGGAGGGAGGTTGGGGAGATGTTGGTCAAAGGATGAAACATTTCAGTTAGACAGGAAGAAGATTAAGAGATGCCAATAACAATATAGTGTGTACCTGCAAACTGCTTAGAGAGATTTTAAGTGTTCTCCCACAAAAAGAAAACGGTATGTGAGATAATGCATACATGTATTAGATGGATTTAGCCATTCATAACATCCTGAGAGAGAGAGAGAGCACACTAAAGTAAATACCTATCTGAAATTAAACCATACTGAAGTGTCTGAAGTCCCCTCTGTTTTGGCCCTTGGTATTGCCTCTATTTTCATGATTCTCTCTGCCACAAGGGACATAATCAGATTGTGAAGCTGGTCAGAGGACATGTAAACCTACATTCTTCTTTATCCTAACTCTCAGCCACACTGAGTCCTAGGGACACTGTAGGACAAGAGGTCTGTTCTGCATGACAATGGACTAATAATTGGAATAATAATAATATAATAATTATAATATAATAATTAATAATAATACAATCTATAAAACGAGCATTAAAAACTGTCTAGTCGTCATATCTGAGCCATAGAAACTGTAAGAAGCTGCAATTTTCTACCTTTTAGCTTAAGGCACATGATAACTTTAGTTTTTAAATTATGGAATGGAAATTGGTGTCCAGGAGTTCCAGTGTGAATGTCTCTTTTAACCAGTTGTAATGAAGTAGTAACAATTAGCTGTATTCGTCACTAACATAGCACATGACCTCGACAACACTATTTTAGACCCCAAAATAACTCAAATAAAGTTGTAAAAAAATAAAGTTGTAGAAAATCACATGGGAATGCCAACCCAACAGCCTACTCTTAAAACTTCAGAGAATTCATTCAGAAGTCAGGACATGAGAGAGGACTTCCTTTTCTCCCTCTGCCAACAAGTGTGTCTGAGTTACATTTCTCTCCCTTGTACAGGGTGAAGTAGGTTGAGGTGCACTTCACGTTAATAACAGGAGAACTACTTCAATCATCCTTTAACAATATCAATATTTTTAAAGAAATAA